CCCCCCCCCCCCCCCCACCCTCCCCCCTACCCCCCCCACCCACCACTCCCCAGGCAGGGTAGGGCCCTCAAGGGGGGGGGCTCTGCAAAGTCTGCCAAATCTTCCTGTGCTGGGCCTGGGCCCTTCCCCATGTGTCCAGGGCCAGAGTGTATCCCTTCACGTGGGATGGGCTCTCAAAGTCCCTTCTTACACCAGGGAAAAATACTAGTCCACTATCAGAGGCTCTCTGGAGTGCAGAGGCCTCCTTATTGACATCCATGTTCAGGGGTCTGGATCAGTCTTGTACTGGTCTCCCAGACAGCATCTGGGGTCGATGTGCTCTCCCTTGTTCAGGCCACCTGTTCCTGTGGGTTTCTCCAACCTGGAACACACTCCTTCCCTCTTCATTCCTCCCTCTCTTCAACTAAATTCCAGATTTCAGCTCAGTGTATATTTGTGGATGTCTGTCCCTGTTTCCATCAGCCACTGGATATAAAAGCTTTTTACAAACAATCTTTTTTCCCCTAATGGTTGAACTTTGCCGGTAGAGAAGGTGATATTCAGATCCTCCACCACATGGGGGCACTCTTAAACCTGTTTTCAGAGAAGCCTTCTTTTGCTAGACTGATAAAGGTAGTGGTGACTTCAGTAGTATTAACAACCTTTGTGTTTGATAGCTGGTTTGGGATTGAGCCTAGAGCTCTGGACATGCTAAGCCCAGGCTCTACGTCTCCAGACCCAGCAACATCTTTTAGTCTTCCATTTCTCCAGTGTCCTTCCTCTTAAACATTTTTAATAATTCAAGTCTTCCTCCAGATTTAAGCTCTTTCAGATGGAAGCACTTCAGTTTAATCACTTCATATGCTTGGTCTTGGCAATTTCTTTTCTTCTTTATAGAAAAGGTAACTTGTCCAGGTCAACCTTGGCACCAGGTGTCACGGATACAGGTGGAGAGATCCCAACATTCCAGCAGGGAATTTTATAGTATAGAAAGGAATTCTGGATATATCAGTAACTTTTGCAGGACCCCACAGCTGGGGATACAAGAGTCACATTCAAACACATGACTATCTGGCCCCAAGTCTGTTGTTTGAAGCTGAATTTTTCTTTAGTAGAAATAACATAGTCAGTCACCTGTACCCCGGTGTGTCTATTAACTTCACATCACTGTCAAACAGATAGATCCACAGAGCCTTCTTAATCACAAAGGGTAAAACAGTGTTCTGTTCACTCTGGCATATTAGTTACATCTTATGATATTATGATCCTTAGTTTAAAAAAATATGGCCACAAACCACCGATAGAATGGCTCTTTAAAATTATTTATTTGTGTTTGTGTGTATATGTGTGGACAGTGCCTGAGGAAGTGGGAAAGGGTGTTGGACCCCCTAGAGCTGGAGTCACAGATGCCTGGGAGCTGTCCATTGTGTGTACAGAGACCTGAACTTGTGTCCCTTACAAGAGCACCAAATGTTTTTAACCATGTAGCCATCTCCCCAGCCTAGAGAGGGTGACTTTCAATACTGTACTAAGAAACGATTGATACTGGTGACTTTTGTATTTTGAGACTGTAGCTGGGTTTGCCATGTAGATCATGCTGGCCTGGAACTCGCAGAGGTCTGCCTACCTCTGCCTCCTGAGTGTTGGGATTAAGGGTGCACACCACCACACCTGGCACAGGGTGACTTCTGAAATGTGAATATTTGAGCAGCCTGTTTCCTGAATGTGCTGCATAATTGAGGATTGATGGTATTTTACTAAACATGTTTTTGTCTTACTGTATTTGTGAAGTTTTTCAGAAACTACTAGGAGATACCAGAAAGATAAGTCCTCTCAAAGTTATTTTCTGGACAGCTAGATTTATGTGTACAGGCTTGAGATGTCACCTTCTTTCCGGAAAGTGGTTTTGTTGTTTTGTTTTTTCAAAAGGAAAGCTGTGTGCTTTGACTCCATTAGCTTGTGATGATCAATTAAGTCCTGCAGCCAGGGTGCACAGTTCTGCTCGATACATTTCTAAAATAGTTAATTAGTGTCTTTTGAGATAGGGTCTCACCCATAGCCCAGGCAGGCCTAAAACTAACAATGTAGCTCAGGCTAGCTTTAAACTATAGGCAATCCCTCTACTTCTCAGCCTCATAAGTGCTGGAATTACAGATGTGAGCCACCATGCACAGCAAAACATTCACTTCTATTTCCAGCTCTTCTTTTATAAAGTTGCCTTACCAGGTTGCAAGAATAGCTTGTACTGTGGGAGGCTTTGTGTGAAATTTCATGTAGTACTAAAAATAGTGTCAGCTGGCTTTTCATGCAGCTTGTGCTTTGCTAGCTTCTCACAACCAGCACCTTTACCTTTTTAAAATGTGTCTGTGTGAGTGTATGCTAGTGCCCATGAGGGCTGCCTGACATGGGTCCTGGGAACTGAACTCAGCTTCTCTGCTAGAGCAGTAAGTGCTCTTAACTGCTGAGCCATCTCTCCAGACCCAGCCTTTACTGTTTTTTATTTTAGGAGAGTGAAAGCAGCCTCTTTACAAAAGTATTCAGTACCAAAAGGTATTCTGGTGCCTTAGGAGAAAGCTGATACAACTCTGTTTTAGGGAAAAAGATAGGTGGGTGGGTGTGATGATCACTGTGTGATAAGCCCGATGACTATGGGAGTGGGGAGGTGTGTGGGGATTCTGGAAGCATCGCTGGGCCTGCAGTGGAGCTGAAGTTCCCCGACATAGTCTTCCTGACAGTTTTCAGTGGCATTTGGGAACGTGGGAAAAATAAGAACATGGTGCTTGTGTCTGGGGAAATTTTACCATTTATCGTCTCATTAGATAGATCTCTTTGTAGGTTTTGGCATTAAAATCTTGTCATTTTTCTCCACAGTGGTAGGTAGTTTGTTGTGGAAATTTTTCTTTGAACATCCAGTCCATACATTGCCAAATGTGTAACTGGTAGCTGCTCTCCCATGTCCCTGACTTGGAAGTCTGGCACCTTGGTGTTGAGGGATCAACACTGTCTTGGGGCCCCTTGAGGCCAGAGAGCAGTTCAG